ATTCTAAAGAAATATTCTCTTCAGTAATTAGATTATCTATCTTTCAAACAAACAATACTACATAAACAGGACTGCTAAAAAAAAATTGATAAAGAGATAAGTGATTCAAGTGATTTGCTATAGTTTGGAGGAGGCTTCATGGGGGTATGCAAATAAAACAATAAATTAGGGTTTGGTGATTAACAGGATAAGAGTTCTTACCTGGTGCTCTTTTAACAAAAAAGGAATCCTATTAAATTGAGAAGGGGAAAATATGCTGATATGCTATCAAAATGATGTACCGTATTACAGGAGATGCATTTGCATTTTCTGTAAACAGGAAATTCTATCTTGTCCATTTTATTGTACTGCTCTAAACAGAAACTACTAAATTATGTAGACATCTGTGTATAATACTTCTCAAACTGTTTGTTCCAAAGCATAAATAGGTATTACAGTGTTTAAATTACTTTTTTTAGTTGAATGAAGACATAAAAAAATAATTTGAATAGCAGGGGCCAAAAACAATGCTTACACAGCACTTGAGCTGTTTTTATTGTGTTTTCTATGAAAATACCACAAGTCCTGGATTTGTTGGTCATGAAAAAAGAATTGAAAATGTTTAACCATTTCAAAACAAATGTACTGTAACCCTACAGCATGAGGCTTTTCAAAAACTATTGTTCCTCTTTTAATTGCTTTAGCATTAAATGTCCATAAATGTTTTAATAAATGGCATCTTCTCAGAATTAGTATAGTCTTAACACAGTGTATAGAGTTACCTAGAAAAGTTTCCATATTTCTAGTTTAAAACCCCTTAATAAAAAGGCACAGAAAGAGTAATGCTACAGCATAATCGTCTATTGAAATTGTTTTTAATTTGTACAGTATCTGCTCCAACTCCATGTGAAATTGACCAAACTTAAAAATCTGAGCAACAGAATTATTCTTGCAGTCAAGACAGGACTGCTACAAAATTGACTCATGTTTAGGGACTTCAAATAATATACATCACTAACAGATTAAATGTATTATTTTAAATTGTCAGATGTTTTCACATAATAAGCAAAAATAATCTATTTACTGTGATAAATTCACTTATGTCTAAGTAACATACAGAAGTAGAGCAAACATGAGATTTTCTGAGCAGTACACACAGCCCATGCAATCGTATTTCTCCCTTTTTGACCAAACACTGAAGTCTTCCTGGGCTCAACATAGTCTCATAATCTCCAATGACCAGATTATGGAATTTTATAGTTATTTCAAAAGATACTGCCACTCATGAGAAGAAGTTTGTGTTTAAATTTCTCCTGTTACAGTGATATATCTTGTAAATTGATTGGAAATATTACATGAGTGGAAATTATTTTAAAAAATTGTGAGTTAATTTATATAAATATCACTCTGAGAAAACAGTTCCGATTACATAAGAACAAGACATTTCACTAAATAAAAGTTGAACACTAGGTATAATGTGAGGGTGGCAAAGTGTTCCATTTCTTATAAATGTCTTTATTATAATTAATGGATTTTATGATGAACCACTGCATGTGTCCTGAATCTTTCTTTCCATTTTGTTCACTGCATTTTCCAACATATTAGTTAAACGTTTTATACAAAACTCAACTTTCTGCCACCTACAGTGACACCACAGTGCATTAGTTAAATTGGTATTTTATTTATTTATTTTCTTGTGCATGCACATTCCACCTAATTAATCTGATAGATCACAGAGGGATATGGCAGTATAGGCCAAATATATCAAGGATTTAACATCAAAGATGTAACTGCTCTATGATTTTTATTTTTAGTGTGCATTGAAAAAAATAAATAAGGCTGATGGTCAGATAAAAAAAATTAACAATTATAACAACCCTATCAAGTAGTTTTAGATTCCTAATATATTGGCATGAAACCCTTGATAAATGCTTTCCTGTATTTCCACACCAAAATCCTAGAACTGCATGAACAAGGTACAATATGTTGCCTTAGCACTGCTTTAATCTTTGAGTATAACAGACATACGGGGTACATGGAATATATAGTAAGTATAGTTTTTAAATCAGATGAATTTGAGTAAAGATTCAATATTTCATTCTTTGTTAATTTAGATTTGGAATGATAGGGATAGTGTCGTATTAGTAAAACACTTGTATCACAGTACTGACAATCAGGAAAACAGGGGAGCCATGCTTGTCCTGTGAAGGTGCTGAAGTGGCTATATTCAGTGCAGAGATCACAGCCCTACAGCACATGGAAGGGAATATTGAGCCATTAGTGTCAACCTGCAACAGAGCCAATAGAAAGGGCCAAAGCAACTCGGTAACACACAGATTGGCCAGCAATTCAGCCAAAGCTGTAAATGTTGCCGAGTTCATCTACCCCCTAGTGAAGCAGAGGGAAAGAAAATATCACTAATTTTGGCATTTGTTACAGGTGCTGGACACGATGGTTTAGCTGGAACACACTGGTGGTGTACTACTGCTAAGACCTCCCAGTCAGCGCTGGTACACAAAGCGCATTAATTGAAAGACGCATAATTGTTTTATGGAATAAGGAAATTAAACCTCAGCATGGTGGAGAGGTTGAGCAGATTATATTGATGTGTTAAAAGCTTTTCTTTACCAAGAAAAAGGAAACATTTTGCTACTAATCAAGAGAGAAAGCTTACAAAATACTGTATGTTGACAGTGTTTTTCCAAGAATCTATAATGTTTGGCAAGACTGGCAAACAAAAATGCCACGTGTCCAGCTTGAACATCACCTGCAAACTTAGTTTGGGAAATAAAGCCTAATGTGTTTTGACATTTAGCATCAAATTACCTTTTTATATAAAAATCCAACTGTTTTAAAATTAAATGAAAATGTTATAGTGTGCAGCTTAAGTATAGTACAGTACAGTTGTCCCTCAATTATATTGACTGTAAATTCACCAGAAAAAAAGGCTTGGCTAAACTCAGAAATATAAATTTTGTATTTGTATAAATAAATTCTTCTACAGTGTCATTTACTCTTTTCACTATAAATGATCATCTCATAAAATGGTAGAAAAAGTCTACATGATGTGGGATAAAGGTAAATGTTACCAGTTATTAAAGAGAGAATGTTCTGAAAAGAATATGTGCGAAAACACACACCAGTGTTACTTATTCCAAGATCCATAATCCTTTTAAGTATAAACCATCTTCACAATGAATGGCCTTCATTCAATAGGGAGATGTATTGCAGTTCATGGATATAATATACTGCACATCAAAAGAAACATTGTTTTCTTTTAAAAAAATGATTTTGGTATTGATTAAATGGTGTTGGTGACATTCTGATTAATTGATCATTCATGACTGGCCAATACACACTTGTGCGACTTTTGCATAATCATCTCATTAGTGTGAGAGCTGATGGAGGACAGGTGAAGGGAGTAAACTTGTTGAATGTCAAGACTGGTGCAAATCAAGACAGAAAATACAAAACTGGATACAGTAATATTCCTCACTTATCAGGAAAGCAATGCCTCAGATGCATTTGCCAACAGTGGAGCCAATTCTTCTTCTAGAACGTTTTGTGTTGACCAAAGTCTTGGATGTCAGTGAGTCTCAGGATGTGCAGAGTCATGTGCTTACTGCTGGGCAAAGTCTACCAATCATTGGACGACTAAAGAATTCTAACAGCATTTTCACTTATAGACTAAGTAAAGGAAAAGCTACTGTATTTGCAACTGTGCTGTTACATCTCCGTTTGTGTCCGTGTTTTTGTTTTGTTGGTTCTGCTTCCTGTATTCAGGTCACATTGGTCCATCACTACACCATCATTGCAGTTGTGACATCATCATCAATCAACTCCCAACCAATCAGCAACTAGATCTACAGTTTAAATACCGATGAAGCTCCGATCTCGGTCAGCTATTTGCTCAACTTCTGTTTGCTTCGGCTTGTTTTCGCATTTGTTCGCTAGTTCGCTAGTGCTAGTATTTTATTCGGTATTTCCCATTTTACCATAATCGTGCAATTGGTTCACTTGTGTCGTGTTATTGTTAACTGTGAACTTGTTGTACACCGGGGAAAAGGTACAGGTAAGGCCGTCGGGTTACATTGTGCACACGTAGGTTTGTTTTGTCTAGACACTAGGTTAGGGCCGTGTGCCACTCGTGTGTTTTGGTTCTGGTTAGTTCAGCCTAGGGAAGTTGGGGCATATGAAGACGCTAAAGACCCTTTTGATTTTTGCCAGGCTGAATTCGAACTCTGCCTTGCGATTCGTAAAACGGAGAAAGAGGTTAAGCTCAGACAGCTAACCCACTCCAACGCCTCTAGAAAGCAACAGCAACAACCACCTAAGAGTGTAGGGCTTGGCAGGACTGTTTCCCATGTTACTGTTTCTTCCACTTACTCTGCACAGGATCTCTCTCGACTCACCTCGGAACCGTAACAGTGCCCCTACTGAAGGCCATCCTACGTGGCATCACACCACACTCGTCTTAATCGAAGAATTACAACAATTGCGTCAGAATCTGTAAATTGTATTGTTTCCACACCTAGAACAGTCATGATAAATTTCTTCATTGTGTTACTCACAATTTTAATTTCAGACATATGACAGTGGATACATTTTTTCCTTTCACTATTTTTTATTAAACAAGCCTGGAAGTCATAAAATAGATTGTTTCTGTAGAGCAAACAAATCACAAGGAAAAAAAAAGACTGCCATCTCTTTGTCTTAAAGAAATTGGCCATGTGCTCTCCAAAAAATCCAGTGTCCTGCCAAGTGCACCACATATTTACTGTTTACTGCGAGCTGTTGCATATGTGGTTTTAACATACGCTCCCCTCTTCTAGTTAAATCATCTGTGGTCCCTTGGCTTTCCTCTGACATATGCAGCACTGGTACTGCCACTGCAGCTTAAATTTTTTAAGCAAAGAAAGGCATTTATATTAAATAATAATGACCATTTCAGACATTTATTTTTCTGCGTGTCTAACTGTCATTTTTCCTCTGTTTTTCCCATTTGTACTTGTTCCTCCCAGTTCCAGGTTCCTGACAGAGGTTCCCAGCATTGACATCCTTGTGAGCGAAATTGAAACACTTAAAAAGCACCTTTCTCAAATCAAATCCCCAGCAGTGCTGTGTCATAATGACCTACTGTGTAAAAACATCATCTACAATGAAGCTAAAGGTTGGTTTAGGGTCACCTACAATATAACACAGAAAGGAAACCATTTCTTGTCAGAGAATGTTTCTTTAAAACAGATTTGTTTTTGGAAGGGGAGGTGGAATTTGTTCTGAATTATTTATTTGAGAGGTAGCCAGAGTGTATCATTAATGTACGATGTTATGGGACACAGAATATAACTAGATCCATTATACAGATATTTTATTGAATAGAATAGCAGTTGTTCCTCTAACCCTAGAGGCAAATGATGAGTTGTATAAGTACAGTTTATAAAGAAAGACTGTCATGCAGGAAAATTCTGAAAAGGACCTGTCATTTCATATTTCTACAGATCACCAAAATGATATCCAATAAGTATTATTATCAGTGATTTTAAGTAATAGCAAAGAATAAAATTCTTTTTCTCTATCAACACCTAGACAAAATCCATTTCATATATTGCACACAGTTATCTACAAAATAATTACTGTATTATGGTACAATAATCATATTTATATTTAAAAGTTATACATTTACCTGCACAGATGGTCCACTTTCATTACTAAAGTTTCAAAAATATTGATTTAAAATATATCTGTTTTACCTCACACTTTTGTGTATAATATGTATAATCATTCTTAAATAGAATATATATTTGGTATTTTTATCAAAATATGCCAACATAATTGCACACTGAGAAAAATTAAAACAAAACAAATGTTGTTGGTTCCAATACTTATTTAATGCATTTTTAATGACTGTTCATACAATATACAAACCAAATAAAAGACAAGACAATATGAATTTAAAACTCTCTTTGGAGGTTAGTAATTTTGAAGACAGTTCAAACTCTTTAAATTCTGTACTAGATATACAGTACTGCATAGTGCAAAAGATCTTTCACTTGGAGATTTCTAATACATAATCAATCTTTTAAAGATCTTCTGTTTGAAGTGTATCTAAGATGGGTGTCTTGTTTTTTAAAGAGAATGTTTTTTAAATAGGATTTATCTGCATGTTTTAAATGCATTTTTGAATCAGCAAAAATGAAACAATAGGACTGTATATTAAATATTTTATAAACCGTACAGCATAGAATTTTATGTCAATCCAAAAACTGAAATCTAAAGATCAGTCTCCACTATTTATTCTATGGTGTAGGAAGCTGGTGGTGCAAAATGGCATCTGGCAATATTCCCACAACATAAAATAAAAAATGCAGGGCATTCCCATCAGACACCAATAAAGGCAACTGTTTTATAAATCGGTTTAAGGATAAAGCTGAATAGCAGACCTTCTCATGTCAGAACTATAGATCAGATGAAAGTCAGTGCCTTAAAGTATCCAAGCATGTAGCAGCAAATCTACAGTGATCTTAGCTAGCAACCTGCACATTATAAGTCACTGAAAACAAACTTCTTTCAGAATGTTGAAAAGTACATAGGGACATGGAATCTTAACTGGAAAGTAAATACAAGAACAGGCTAATATGTACAGTAGACTATGCATCAATTATTTGTCTACAACTGCACAAAATAAATATACAGTGGGGTAACATCTCTCAAATTCAAAAAATATACAGTACTCTGTCCTCAAATTTAATGTAATTTAGAAGGTTGACAGTCTCAGAAATTCTTATCATTCAAAATTCCTTTTAAATGAAGATACTTTGTTTATTAATTAAGATATTGAAAGTTTTTTAGTGAAACATATCTGCTCCATTTAGGATCTTTATTCTCACAACAACTATAAAAAGAGTGTTCATGGTACTGTTTAGAAGCCATTATACCTAAAAGATAAAATGTCTTAATAGGCACATTTACAAATACGAAGTGGGATTAGAGGAAGAGATTGTATCACCTACACGTGGAACCAAACCTGTTAGTGTCTCTGTTGCCTCAGGGGGCAAGGATTTTACTGGCATAGGACATTAACGTGTGAAACAAAAATAAGTCAGTAAGCAGACAAGAAAGACATTTGTAGAAACCAATTTATGTTTATGGGAAATTGTTGTTGTGTATGGCAGGTCATTTGTAAGACATTCCTGTGACAGACATATAAAATAAGCAAAAATGCTTGCCTACTAAATAGGAAGTTCCTACATAAAATGGAAAACCAGCCCATTTACAATACTTAAATACAACAATACAATCTTTCCTTACATTAAAAATTGTAGTAAATATTTTTGCATTTATTGAGCACATCTCATGTTCTTATACACAATATTATCTTCTTAAACTTCTTAGATTACAATAATAGTGATAAGGGTGATCATTTACTTCTTTATTGTTCTTTTCAGGTTTCGTAAGATTTATTGATTATGAATATGCAGGTTACAACTACCAGGCATACGACATTGGGAATCACTTTAATGAATTTGCAGGTTGGTGGATATCTTTAATTATCACAATCACAGTACTGTATATAGTTGGAAACTGTCTCCATATAAAACCTCTTGAAAATTCACTTGAGTGTGCTGCCTTATTTCAACCTTTTTTTAATTTCATGTCTAGTGGACCACATACACACACTTCTCTTTCTGGTCCTGGATAGCACTTACTTTCTAAATAGAAGAAATGGTAAAAAAAATACTTAGAACTCAAGGAAATGTGCTTCTCTGTCCAGGAGTTACATCATTTTCAATCTATGAGCACATGATGTAGGTTTACGTTACATTTTCTACCCTTTTGTCTAAAAGCGAGAGGGTTCAGTCTGTATGTCTTCTGTACTAAATCCAAGAACAACTTTTAATGCTAGAGAAAATGAAAGGAATAGTAGCACTTGTGGTTGGAGCCCTCAGTATAATTTCTATATGTCAACCCTAAAGCTCCCACCCAAATATTTCATTTTTAGAACAAGATGACAGACATGCAGGTCCCCTCAAGCTTAAGGTCTTCATTCTTATAATTAAAGATGATTGCTGTGTTGTTACAAAAAATGAATAATAATCAAAAATACAATATTTGTCAAGTCTTCAATGTGAAGTTCACATTACACAACTAGAAGTACAAATGCAGACCAAGGTCTGACCCGAACAACTAGACTTTCATGTTAGAATCCTCTAAGTAACTTAATAAATTATTATTTTTATTGGAACGGGGTTAAATGCAATGGTTTTTCATATCTTGTTGGAAAACTATAGGGATTTGTTTGATGCAAGTTTTAAATGAATTCAGATGTCAGTTTACTCTCTCAGACAACAAAAGGGTATGTATTTCAATATACCCCTACAAGAATATCTGATCTTAAAAGCACGTGTTGGTATTAAAAATGACTTAACTTCATTTATCCAGAAAGCACCTTGCAAATCAAACAGTAAGCTGCAAGTGCGTGTTAGCAAACACATAACTGTTCAAGATATAGAGCTTAAATGCAAGTGGAAACCAAAAAAATATTGTTGGGCTTTACATGGTCCATTTTAAAAAGGTACAGAAACAAACTGAAGCCAGTCATCAATAAACATGTTTTTTTCAAGTCGCAAAGATGCAAGCAGTTTCATTTTGCAATGAACCATCTAGACAAAGTAACATAAAATTAAAATTTAAAATTAAAAGTACACATTGGTTATCCTTAACTGAAGAAAATGCATCTATGGACATTTTTTCTTTGCACCACATTCTACCAAACCCAGTAAGAGCTGACGGCTGAAGTTGCTCTAAAACCCCCGTGTGAGCAGAAGCGAACTCAATGTCATATTTATAGAGCAGAAAGGCTTCCAGAGCATTAAGTTCTAACCCAGCACTCCTGCATCTCAAGTCTAGTGATGTGATGACAGGTTGAAAGGCCTTGTGCCTGGGACATATGGCAAATGTCTTAATCTGACTGGCATTAAACTCCCATGGTGTGCAATACGTTCTCTTCCAAACACTTTTCTAATTAGTTCAGGTTAGGCTATTGAATCTGGGGCATGTCACGAGACATGCTTAGGGGCCATTTGATATGAAGAAAAAAAATGGAGAACATTGACAGGCATATGGAGCTGATCAAGAGAAAAGAGTGGTGTTGTGATTATCCCATGTCCTATTAGAAAAAAGGGCTTCTGCTGAAAAATATAATAACATAAAAACATATTTCAGTGACTGTGAACACATACTGTATACTGTATGTCAAGCATGAAATTTATTTCCTCAGCCCCATTTGCTATAATAATGTTGAAGAAAAGCATGCTGGATAATCCACACATACAATGTATTTATATGATTTTATTTTTGTTTAAATCATACTCCAGCTAATATAAACCAGTATAATTTTGATACAACAATATTCCCTGACACTATGAGAAGGCATGTTAAACGCAATTACATAAACAGTGGAAATGCATTCCGTTCTTCAAATGTTCCTTAAAGCTCAAAGTTGTTGTTCTCACCTATTTTAACACGTTAGTTTTGTTTTAATTAACAGATGTCAGGTGGTTTTAAAAATAATGGTGGCAATTATCATACAGAGAAATTCAAATAAATGTTATATTTATCACATTCACAAAAATTAAAATACTGACAGCTATGCACAGATACTGTAGTTGATTTTTTTCTCTAAAAATGATAACAGAACAATTATTTAATTTTGTCAAACGTTCCCATGTTTATTCTTAGGAGTGCATAATGTAGATTACAGCCTCTACCCTAACCAAGATCTACAAAGCGACTGGCTTGCAACCTATTTAGAAACCTACAAGGATTACAATGGCATGGATTCTACAGTCTCTGACGAGGAAGTGCAGAAGCTGTATGTTCAAGTCTGCAAATTTTCTTTGGTGAGTTAAGTGATTCTTTACTATTACCCTCCAAAGCCTTTAGAAATATAACATCGGTTGACAGCCATCAGTATGTACGACACACAGATTTCTTGTTCACAGTCCTTCTGCAGGATCATCATATTTTACTCCTTCTTTCTAAAATAGCTTTTCTTAGCAGGCCCCACTGATAAGTACCTAGTTTTTCTCCTGAAATTGCTTTGCCATTAGTATCATGCAATTTAAAGAGATTCCAAAATTCCCCCATGTAATTTGGAGATATACTTTTTTACATATACCTTTTAGATTCCATTAAACACTGAGGCTCAAATAGTCATTAGTGTCCAAGAGGCACAGGGAGTATCAGTACATTGAATAAACTCTACAGTCACAGTACTACATACTTTTTCCAAAACATGCAAATTCAAGAACAGTTAAGTAACTCCTGGCTATTTATTTTCAAAGGTACCTGCACAAAGTAAATGTAATTGTAAGATTTGTAAAAGTATTACAGAAATATTTTTATTTATGCATCTTATGTATAAATGCCAACTTTCAGTTATTAAACAATGAGAAAAATAGTTTTTTTGACATCTGTCCATGAAGGGAATAGTGGGTTTAACTTGTACTTGATGCATTTCAATTACTTGATCCCAATCACAGATAAGATCCTTCTCGTTAGCTGAAGATATTTATCCTGGGCGAGTTAATCATGTAAACAGACCGATTGAAATTCTGAAAAAAAAAATTAAATATCTTTAGGCCTGCCCACAGGGACTCTGTCAAATTTTGATGGCTATAGATGATTTCTGTGTGCACTGGCAGTAAAAACAAATATTAAAAATCATGAAACTATTATACATATTAATGACTGAGATAAAACACATTTTACTCCCGCCCTAGACACCAAAATCAGCCCAGGGTGAAATTCTCTCGTACTGTGCAAACTCTTAAAACAAAACTTTAGATGCTGCAGTCTATCTGAACATCTGGCTTATCATGTAAGCAGATATTAGAATCAAATTAACTAGAAATGAATTGGATGATATATGACAGGGTGCAGATGTTCAACCCAGCAGTGTGATAATTTCATTGCAGAAGTATATAATGAATTCCATACATTACAGAAGTAAGAAAGCACCGTGTGTAAAGGTAAATGTGGTGGAAAGTTAGAAAATCTAAAGATCAAGAAACAATATCCCTAGGCTGTAGGGAGAATTCACTTTGTTGCTGTGTGATGTCTTTTGTCTGAGCTTCAGCACTGTTATGACATGCACCTTCTTCAGATCTTCATGCACACTCTTCCAAGCTGCTGTAGGCACAGCAAATTCAAACAACCTCTGTTGTCAGTAAGTCTGTCAATTCCAATAGCAGTCATTGTGTTGGTTTTGATGTTTATACGTGTGCTGTTATTCAATAGGTGAATGAAAAGCAGGTTAGGAAATGTTTTGCTATAAACCTGAGAATAATTTCCCAAAACATCATTTAAAACTGTGTTTAGGTGGTAATAAACACACATTTTATTTCTGGTTGTTTCAACTAACTGCCATGTTGCAGACATTTTGCTGGTTAATTGCAATTAATGCTTTGAATTAACCTAACTTGTTCAGTGCTTTAAAATTCAGTTATGACTTGATGTTTTATGCAATGGCAAGTATCAGAATACTAAATATCATTTATGACTAGAAAGGGCAACACAGAGTCATCTTTTTAAAGCTGCTTAAATTATACAAAAGTTTTTTTTAACGTATAGATATTATGGTAAATTTTGTAATGAAACAGAAATTTACTGTAAAACAGATAAGAAACTCATAACAAATAATTCTGTTCAGTTTTTTCATTGCACTATTTTTTAGCAATTTCCAGTAAATGATTACAGTACCATATTTATAATATACTTATATATTATGATGCATGTATTCGTTAAGCAATGTGATAAAACCGATTCCATCTGAATTTTTTCCAAGGTTTTCCTCATTTCTAGCTCAGTCAAATCAAATTTTACAGGATCATGTAAACGCTAAGTGCTGGTTATGAGTGTAAAATCAAGGTAGAATGTATCAATTCAAGGAACTGGGTTAATGAAAATGAAAAAAAATCCACTTAGCTATGCATGGTGCTTCTTAGGGAACTGTTATATGGTAATTTTTCACTTTTTTCATACAGTTGAAACCTCTTCGTTGTTCCTAATGAATATGTAGTTATCAATGCCATGCTGTGTTAGGTTATATTTATTTTGTTACCCAAATGAGCTGTTACACAATGACTGTAATTCTATTAGGCTGACTAATACATCTCAGGTGTGCAATTAGGAAAGGTGAAGTGTGCAGTGTTGAACAGGCCTGTGGCACTGGTGGCACAATGCCATGGTGTTACAGCAGCACAAGGCTGTCAGGCGATCGTCTTAGGTGACAACAGGTTGCTCTTAAGATGACTTAACTGAGCAGTGACAACTCTTAACCAAGGAACTCTGCTGAAAAGATGTGATCGCACCTCTTAATGTGACTCTGTGGCTGTGTTACTTACAGCTAAATTACATTATTATGACTTCATTGTCGAATCCCAATTCTCTTAATTATAGCCTAGAGATCTATTATTTGATTTTGTAGCACCGAGTGCTTCTCTTCTAAATCATGTAATCTCTTATAGCTCATTAATGTCAGGTTTGCGTACATGCAGAGTGTTGGTATTGTGCCAAGCGGAATCAAATTTTCAAATGTTCACTGCAGTAATGTTGCTGGGGTGCATTCTTCTGTAATTACCATAGCACACTGACGAAGATGGAAGGGAAACCACTGTTAAGTGAAAGTATTGTTGAAGACAGCAAAAAGTAAAAAAAAATGAAGTGTTTTAATTTTTGTCATGTTCGGCCCTCTTGAATATCATATACTCAATACACTTCATAATATACTTATATACCTACTGTATATGATCTTTCTTCATCTGCCTCATTAAGGTATCTGTTAACACATATTAAAGATAGCAAGTTTTAATGTTTGTTTTTGAATGATCTCTGTTCTAGTTTTTTTAATCAGCTAAATAATACAATTAGTTGTAAAACAGAATTAGAAAACAGACCTGAGAAGAATTCTTTCATGTGTATTTTGTGTCTTTAGTTCAATATCCTGCTGCTTGAAACAACAAAGTAATTAAATCTACAGTTCATTGCGACAGTACATTTACAAGGTGGATATTTGTGTTTATTAATATAAACAGCAATCAGATTCTAGTCTAAATACATCAATGAAATTTTACAGAAACATTCTGTTTTTCTCATCTATAATTGATTTGTTATTGTAAGATTTACTTAGAGCTTGGCGCATTTCCACATCCACAAGCGGAGTTTTTCTTCAGAACATCTATTCTCAAGATAAATAGCTCTCACTACTCTATCTCACATTGGGACTTGGAAAGTTTACTCTCTTAATAAAGAACAGGTGCAAGTTTGTGATATTTTATGACTTTTCCAGCTGAAATTAAAGTGCTGACAGGGCAACAATGAACTTTGGTGTTAAATGAATTCTGTATTTTTTCCTGAGGTCAACAATGTTTTCTCTTCAGTTTAGACTTCACCTACATCATTTTTGAAGGGAAATATTTAAAGCAGGCAGTTTATAAAGATAAAGCAGAGATTCTTTTACTATTTCACAAGGCCCATAGAACTTCAAAACTTTCAGAAGAAAATCATTACAAGGTGATGTAAATATAAAATGTACCAAATGAATAATTGAATACAGCTGCTTGTTACAACTTTTCACAATATGAGGGTGTATGTCATTTTCATAAGGAAAATAGCCCACCAAAAATCTGAGATGGTGAAAAAATATAGTTTAATTAGATATTAAAAATTAATAGTCCCCATGCGAAAACCCATCTAATGTCTGTTTTATCCCTCAGTGCCACCAACATTGGCTGTTTTCAAGGCTTGTATGTTCAAATACACAAAGTATTAATTGCAGATAACATGACAGATAAAGGAGAAATATCCTGCTATGAAGTTAAATTAATATACAACAGAAAACATGTTTTTAAGACCAAATATTAAGAACCCCTTCCAGATATTTAACTCATTGCAATGCAGCTGATCAGTTTTGGTTTTAGTTATCAAGCAAATTTCCAAATGTATTCCAGCTAAATATTAGTTGGGTTTTTTTTGCGGCAATGGTTAAGAATGTGGCTACAGTCCTGTTCAGTTTGGAGCCTCACCCTGTGCCCTGAATCTATGGGCTGACCAGACCATTACCAAGGTAATAGGCTTTGTGATAATCAGTGTATGCTTAAGAATAATGCACACAGAAATGCCAGTTAATCACAGCAATAAATGTAATTCTTCTCTGAAACTGCAGATCAGAACCTTAACCTGTTGAGCTACAGGTTAATTAAAAAACTTCAATTTTATGGGCTCATCACAACTGTAACATTTCATACAAAGAAATAAAGTCAAGGCAACAAACCTTTGTAAGACGTTAACAGAATGACTTATCATAGCAAAATGGTCTTTCACCTTCTTGTCAGAAACACAGTGATAGAGCAGACAAGGAGAAGGTATTGTTAGAATATTTTTTTTGATGCATTGAGCAAGTAAAATGAGTGCCATGTACTGTTCCACAAGAATGAGAAGAGTCAAAGTTAACTCTTGGCTTTTCTGTTGTCTCTGGAACATTACATTTCTCATCAGCAACCTCCTTTAAAATGGGCTAGTATGGGTTTATAAAAAGAGAAAGAATGTCAAAAGACGAAATAAAGTTTATTTGCCTGCGGACACTGTAAAAGCTTCAGGTTCAAATTTTATTGCAAAAATATTTTCTGCAAACACTGTGTAAAATGGGGGCATAAAAGAAAGCTTGAACGGTCCTCAACAGAAAAGTCATGAGTATTCAATTATTCCAATTCATGGAACCCATTTATTGGGAAAAAATGTCATATGTACTACACAGTATAATCAAGAAGAGCTGAATGAATTTACACTGCCTTTTAGTTTATGAGGATTGGTACTCCTTGGGTTTTCACACAGGTATGCT